TGCTTTTTTTTTTTTTGCTCTAGGTTACTCTGGAGACTGTCAGATCATCTACATCTACATTCGGAATAACTTTTAAATCAATTATTCATCTTTTAACTTTAATCTTATCTAAGAATGGAAGCACAACTGTGGTTTATTTCATTTATTGCTGGAGTCATAGTTGGAGGCATTCTCTTAAAAGCTTCTATAGTCAAAATTGTGATTAAACATAGTTTAGTTTTTGTTGATGCTTTGGTTTGTGGAGCACAAGTTTATGCTACAGTTACCCTTTCAAGTAAATCAAATTCCTTAGTAGAAGTTTTGTTTGTAGTGGTGCTGGCTGGATTAATTTATGTGACAGCAGTGGTTCTAATCATAGACACCTATGGGCAAGAAATTGGGATCGTGGTAACTCTGGGGGCAGCTTCTGGCTTCCTTTGGGCTTCCAGGGGTAGTTTTTTGTTTATAATCTTTGCTCTTCTCTTCTCTATGGTGTAATACAGTCATTCTGGAGAATCAGAAAAAAATAATAAATTTCTATAAAATAATTTTCAAAATATCTTGATTATCATTCTCCTTGAAGCCTATTTATCGCAGATGTCACGCTGTAGATATACTGAGCTGCACAGATGCAGCAGTGTGGAGGACACAGACCCGTTAAGATCTTCTGCACATCAACTATCTTTTGTTTTACCTCTTGTCACATTACAAAACTCATTCCTACTAGAATAAAACAAAGTTTTTTTCTGCTACAAATTGTTAGTTAGCCCAAAGGCCATATATGGCGGCACAGTGGCTACCATATATTTCCTTATATTGACTATCAGGCCTTTTTGTAAGAGAGAGAAATATTGTATTGACTTTGAGGGAATTTCACATTTTGCTGCAGCAAACAGTTACAGTTTTGCTGCAACATATCAACTGTGCTTCTCAGATACCTCTGTGTTTCAGTCAAAGGTCTCAGTGTAGTTTAACAGGAGGACTGGTCAGGGAGGGTCATCAGCCAAAAGTGTTCCTTCTTGGTGTCCTGCAGCATCACAGCAGAGTCCAAGGAGTCTATCTCAGCTTATATTTTGATCCAAACAGTTTGTTGCATATTTGTGACAGTCAGCTTTAAGGGGTTTTACTTATTGTGCCATTATTGTTTCAGCAGTGGTACAGAACAACAATAATTAATTGCAATGATAGATGATAAATCCAAAAATAAAATAAAACGAAAGGGAAGTATGAAATGTGTTACTGTTAATGGTTAATGGTACAAATAGTTATTATTTTTACAAACAAGACATATAATAATACAAATATAAACTGTACATGTTACATACATTAATTTTAGAGTGTTAGAGAAGTTATTCCAGTTGGGTTTAATTCAGACCATTTGGCTAGTTAAATGAGGCATTTACCCTGCATAATGAGGAGCTGCACTAGGATAAGATGACGGGCGGCATGTACACATGTAGTGACCCTGAGCTCTACTCCTAGCAACAACAAAAAAATGTGTCATCACAATGGTCTGTGCAACAATGGGGAGGAGGTGGAAAGGGTCCCAAATTTTAAGTTCCCGGGTGTGCAGATCAGTGAGGGCCTGACCTGGAGCCTAAACACTTCTAGCATTATAAAGTGTGCCCAGCAGAGCAGTCTGTGAACACTTCAAAACATTAGGTATAGGTTCTCCCAGCAGCTGCTGGTCAACTTCTTTTGGTGTATTATCAAAAGCATTCTGAAATACTGCTGCACATCATGGTATGGAGCCTGCACAACTGTTGAAAAGAAGGACCGACAGCGAGTGATGAGAGCAGATGAGAGGGTGGTGGGCTCCTCTCTCCTGAACCTGGCCACCATCAACTCCTCAGGTCTCCAACATTCTGCAGGACCCCACACACCCTGGGAACTGCCTCTTCTGTACTCTCCCTCAGGGAGATTTTAGACTCCTCTCACATGCACAAACAGGCTGCACAACAACTTCTACCCATGTGCAGTGGACTTGCTCCAGAAACCTGTGCTTCTGGAGGCATTTATTTATTTATCTATTTGTTTATTTATGTATTTATTTATTTATTTCATGTTTTTATTGGTATGGATGTTAGAAAGTGTCTATATGTATTTAGTTTTACTGCTGCAGTTTTGCTCTGTTGAAGTTTTGTTGTATTTTGAACAATGACAATAAATCTAATCTAAATCTAAATTTTGAAAGGACTTGGCAGAAAATAAGATGTGGCTCTCCTGGAGCTTAGTGAACCTGATCTGACTGTACATACTGTGTTATAACACCACCTTGTGACTGTAGGGACATACTGCACATTGCAAGGCCCATTTCATTTTAATGTTTTTATCCTCGCCCTTTAAGTTCAGATTTTATTTCTTTGGAGGTTGTTCTGAGCTCTTTCATATGATCCAACTCTTCTATTTGTCATCAATTTTCCTCTTGCAGCCATGTCCAGGGAGGTTGGCTAGAGTCCTGTGGACCTTAAATGTCTGAATAACATGTGCAACTGTAATCACAGGAACATCAAGCTGTTTGGAGATGGTCTTATTGCCTTTATCTTTAATCTGCTTGTCTATCATTTTCTTTCTGGTCTCTTGACACAGTTGTCTTTTTCTCTTTCTCTGGTCCATGTTCAGTGTTGTATCCATCATGTCTCCAAACAGCACAATGACACATGTCCTCCTTAAAACAGGCAGACTGACTGAGGACAAGTTTGAAGACACCTGTGATGCAGATTAGAGACACACCTAAATTTAACATGTCCCTATATTGTCCAGTTACTTAAAATCTTTTCTAGGGGTACCATAATTTTTGTCCAGGCCAGTTTCATTAGTTTTTTGTTTATTTTTTTCCCCCCTGTTGAACAACAATTTAAAAAATTTCATTGGTTATTTTTCAGTAAATTTTTATGTATTATTGCTTTTCTCAGTTTCAAGTTATTTCAGTGACCATTGTTGATTTTTCTTTCATTATCAGAGGGGTACCAACAATCTTGTCCACGTCTGTATGACCACCAAACTATCATGCAGCCTCACACAGAGTAAACATGAATGCAATGTGTAGTCTGATCATTTAATAAGGGCCACATGATATGAGATAAAGATATTTGATAACTACATGATATATAACAAACTATATCATATCAATATTTACGTTTTGACTCAGTAAGTTCAGCAAATTAAAACTTATACTAAGACCAAACTGGGTTAAAGGAGTACACATTAAGAAAATTGTGAATAAAATCTACTATTTTTGCATCAAAAAACTCATTTCTTTTCTTATGGAAAACTTTGTATTGTATTTTTATTTTTGTGATTATTGATTTTTTATTTTTATTTTTTTTTGCAATATTAATATGTTTAAGATATATTGTTCAGCTGTATCTTTCTCTTTCTCATTACATTTGATTCCAGCAGGCAATAAATCATAGTTAAGAGGGGAAAAAGTGAACATTCATATTCCCTTTTATCATGTATTATATTATTTTTTGGACATTCACTTTACCCATTTCTGCATAAAAAAACCAAGCCACCGCAGTATTTTATATGACTGGCATCTGAATTAAACAATGTGAAAATAACAATAACAAAAAAAAACAATAAAACATGAATAAGTATTAAGTAAAGGCCAAATCAAATGGATTTCTCACATGATGAAGCTTCAGGAGACGAAGCTCCTCTTACGCTGAAAAGAGTGCCGAAGACAGCTCCTGCACCCTCCTGGACAGTTTTTCATTTTCATTGTTGGTTTGATTTACACTAACATCATTACAGGTGGTTTGAGTCTCCACTGTAGATTCTTTAAGTTTTTCTTTCAACTTCTCATTGACTTTCCTGGTGTTGAACAGCTCTTGTTTGAGCTTGACAGTGTCTGCCACTGACTTCTTATACAGATATCTTATTTCTTTATACGCACTAACCTCGTTTTCCAGCTCTTTCTCTTTTTTCAGGAGATCAGCTTTTTCAACTCCAAGTCTTTTTTGTTTGTCTTTTCCCTGACTCTTTTGAAGTTGGCAAACTCTTGCCTTAGTTGCACATGTTCCTGTACTTTAGCATTATACAGGTACCAGATCTCCTTATGTGCATTCACTAGGTATTCTACTTGCTTTTCCTTCTTCTGTAGAGTAACAGTAAGTTTTTGCAACTCCAAGTCTTTTTCATCAGACTTTTCTGTGGCTTCACTGGAGTTGGTCAGCTTTTGTATTAGCTGCACATTTTCCTGTATTATAGAAGTATACAGGTCACGGAGCTCTTTATATGCACTAACTTCTTTTTGTAGTTGTTTGTCCTTCTCCTGAAGAGTCCTGGTGAGATTTTGCAACTTCAAGTCTTTTTTGCACAGTTGTTTGGAGATTCCACAGATAGCACAGATCGGTGACCTTAATTGTACAGCTCGACTCAGCCCTGTTGACTGTCAGCAGATATGCGCACAACTGAGGAGTGTAAATCCTGGAGCCCTCATTGCCACTGTATGCAAACAAACGAACCATTAACACTACAGTACGAACTGAAACAAAATTCAGATATAAGCACATCATTAATCCTTTAAATTGTGCATAACTAGAAGACATTCCAAAAATAGAAGTCCCAGAAATGTCTCTCACCTTAGTTTTAGCAAAGATTCAAAAACAAAGCAAACATGTTAATACTGTATGAGCTGAACAAACCTGTTCTGAAAATCATCTGTTATATAGTATTAGTAACAACATAAACCATGCCCTGAGGTGAATGAACACATTTCCTAAAAAGCAGAAAAAAATATGTTTAAGTTTGAAACAAAAAAAGTTGTTTTGGTTGACCTGTGTCTTTTGTCCTTTCAAACAAATGGGACCATGGTGTCTTAAAACGTACATGCTCTGACACTTTTTCACCAAGTTTTGTGTGGCCTATTTGCACTATCAACACTAACCCTCATGACAGTTAACTTCTTAGCAGAAAATCACACCGGGCCTCCTGGAATGGAATGCTACCCTGCATGTGCTTTTGGACACTCCTCCTCTGTATTAAAGCTACTTCCTTGTTCATTGTCACATTTTTCGCCGTCACTGTTGGAGTTTCTGCGTCTCAGTATCAAGACTGAAAAGGAATTTGATGATTTTTTTAAAAAACACCATAAAAGATTGCCACGAGAGAGGACTTTCTACAATGTCTGTGTCCAATCCAGAGGAACAGCTGGCCTTTGAGCTGACCTGCCCCATATGCCTCCAACTGTACTCTGACCCTGTGAGCCTGCCCTGTGGACACAACTACTGTCGGACCTGCATCAACCAGAATGTCCAATCTGACAACTCTCCCTCGTCTGTCTCCAAATGCCCCGAGTGCAGAGTGATCTACCAAGGTCACGAGTCTCTACAGAGCAACTTCAAGCTCAGATGCATCATTGACAGTTACCGGGCGAGCAACTTGCTACAGGACGACCCCCCAAGCATGTCCGTGGCAACCCTGACCTTAAGCACGCCCTGCGACCAGTGCATAGATGAACCCACGCCAGCTGTGAAGACCTGCCTGAAGTGTGAGGTGTCTCTATGCTCCAGACATCTTCAGAAGCACAATGAGAAGGAGCAGTTCAGAATGCACACTCTGGTAGACAATGTTCAGAGCCCTGGATCTAAAAACTGCTCCACTCACCAGCGGCCCCTCGAGTACTTCTGCTCCAACGACATGTCCGTGCTCTGCTCCATCTGCATCGTTCAGGGGCACCACCAAAACCATGACGTGCTCACCTTCACTGTGGCCGAGGAGGAGATGAGGAGGGCACTGGAGAGTCGCAGCAAGGTTATTTATTTATTTGTTTGTTTATTAATTCATAAAAATTTGTATTGAGCAACTGCTAAGAAGTACAAGTGATTGAAAACAGGTATGACAAACTAACAATAGCAAAATGCATGTGTATAAAGAGTAGGGATGTAACAATAATTGAAATATCGTGATATCGTGGTGCCAAAAGTAATAATAATATCATGGGCCATTACAATATATTAGGTTTAATGTGTCTTTGCTTAAAGTCATTTTTACTGAACTACATGTGGTGATCTTCTACTCTGTTTCAGTGCAGCCTACATAAGAAAAAACTTTTATTAAACATTTTTTAACTCATTAACTTAATGTTTCTGATCAGATATTTTAAAAACAACATTATTCGTCTGATTTGAAGTCCAGTGTAATACATGAATGGGTATACTGCATATCTGGTACTAGTTATCAATTGAAAGTATTTTTTTTTCTGTTATGCAGTCATATAACTTTTATTGAGCTTCAAGTCAGTTACACAAGATTTCTGATTCTATCTTCACTAATGGCATGTTATTATCATCTCAGACATAATCATGCAAATCTTACATTTCTAAGCTATTGTAACCAGGCTATTATGAAACAAAAGCCTTAACATAGACAAAAGCAACAAAACATAAATTATTAATAATTGTTTTCAGATTTAAAAATAGCTAGGGTGTGTGTTCATGAAAATTAATCCTCAAAATGCTGCCTAACAGGAACAAGACAGAAATCCAGAAAGTCACATGACTTACGATTCTTTACAATAGTACTGTATGTTCTGGGTTTTCCGCCATACCATGTCTTCCTAAATACCATGTGTCATAGGTGGTTGCCTGCAGGCTGAAACTGACTGAAGGACTTCTACAGAAAACAACAGAGGACCAGGGCACGTCTGAAGCCATTGGGGAAAAACTTATCAACAAGGCCATGACCATTATGGAGAGTATGGCTGGGCTGGTGGACAGGTAGGATAGTATGGGAAATCTGAAACCTCCAACAGTACTGCTTTTGATCTAAAGAACTTTCCAGTCTGTTCATGATGACTAGGCAACTACTGATTTTGGGTTACATTCATATCATAATTTTGCAACAGAAATTAAACAAGTCAGCAAATACATTTTGCACAACTCCATTACTAACATTAACATTAAAAAGTTCAGTGAAACTGTGCAGCTTCTGAGTACAGACTCAAACTAAGTGACTGTGAACATTTAACATAATTTGGAAGGATTTCTTTTATTTATTTCAGTGCCCAAAGAAGCAAAGCCCCAGACAGTCATAGCAGAAACAACATTTCTTGTGCTTTCCCCAGCAGACATGTTTCAGCTGACTATAGCCTGTTAAAGAAATTCCATTTCTGTGCTGTACTCAGGGTATTTACTGCCACCTTGTTGTCTCAGTCTGCGTCATCAGAGGTATAATATTCCCTACAATGGAAACATATCCAGACTGGACTGCATTAAACTGGGCTAGACATCACTATCACACTGTCTTGAGTGTTCATGTCCCGGGTGCTGGGCCTTGTACTGTAATGTAAATAAATTTCTCCTCCAGCGTCATGCCTCTCCTCTTCAACACTGAAACAACTTAAACTACCACATAGTTTACATGCCCCATAATGCTCTCCTTTCTTCAACAGGTTTTGCAAGATTTTACTTGGTAAATCATGTACTGGAAATACTTCAACAACTGCTTAAACTTTGTCAGGAAGAAAAACTGATCAAAATAAATAAAATGTTTTTGTTATGTGATACGTTCAGGTACCGGGAGCGCCTGTGTGTCCTTCTGGAAGATGAGAGGTGTCAGCGTAGGCGGAGCTGGCAAATGGGTATGAGTGCACTGGAGGAGCAGCAGCAGCAGCTCATAGAGGCCCAAAAGAACACCACCGAGGCCCTCAATGAGACCGACAGCTGCAACTTCATCCAGAGGTACATCAGCCACAAGTCATTATTACCACTGTTATAACTACAGTATTTTACAAAAATATTTGTCACAAAAACATGAAACCTGTCCATGGTACACTGTTAAGTAATGCAAATAAGGCAATTTAAATTCTTGCCCAACAGACAGTACCTTTAGATTGAAAATGCTTTCCAGACCATGCATTTCACATCTAGGCCTTCAGTAGTGTTCCTTCTGAAACAATCAACTCCTCAGTAACTATTTTATGGTTATAAAAGCCATCTTATTATACAGAAACACAGTATAAAGAGCCGTGGAGATTCTGTGCATGGAGAAGTGAGGAGAAGGGGGTGGGCGGTGCATGGAGAAGAAGAAAGGAATGCTGTGGTGCTAAACCAGGACTAAACTAGAACTAAACCAGGACTGTTTGTTGGGATGGACCCGAAAGTGTGTCCATGCGCCTGACTGCACCAGGGCCTGGGCTCTGCGGCGCACGGGGCGGCTCCGCAGTGTACTGGGCTGCATGGGGTTCAGTGCAGCTGTCGCCCGATTGCGCTTTGTGGACACCCTGCTGTGTTGTTTCTCTTTCTCGCTCTCTTGCTCTCTCTCAAGTCCAAGATTAGTCCTGGTTTAGTCCTGATTTAGACCAGGTTTAGACCTGGTGTAGGCTGGTTTAGACCTGGTTTAGTCCTGGTTCAGCTACATAATGCAGTTTGCTGCTTTGGCTGGTTCGCTCTCTGACTGTCCAAATATGATTGGTTGAAGCAACAGTTTCATGGACATTTATTTTGTGTTCGATGGCCTGCACAATGGACTGTGAAGGCCCCAGGCACACTTCTTTGACTTTGACTCTGACTGGTAACAAGTGATGGCTGAATTGTGATTGGTGATTGGTCAAACGCTTTAATATGAAAATACATGTGTGGAACACACAACACAACCACTGGAAAAGCTATGAAAGGAAGTGGACAGACCATATGTAATTATTTAATAATAAAGTAATTAACATCAGTCTGTGATTCAGATCATTTTTTAGGTCAGCAGAGATGGCCCACCACTAGAGATGAAATATATCATGGTCATACCTGCAAGTCAATACCTAATCTTATCAGATCACTGCAAGGGCGTGCATTGTGACTGGGAATACCAGGTGCCAAAGTGAGATGGCAGTGGCTCTAGTGCAATCCTCAGTGTGCAAAACACTTCACCCACATTGCCTAGTATGAAAGTGGTGTGTGCATGAGTGCTAATGGTTGTCAGAGGTAACCTGGCTCATAACAGATTCATATGTGTAGCACTCTGAATAGCATTGTGGCAAAGGCATTGTTGAGATGACTATCTTTAAAACCTTTTATACCAACTAAGGCTGAATGATCTTCCATTTTGGACAGAAAATTGTAATCTCAGACAGCACGGTTTTGGGAGCGTAAAAGTCTTGTTTTTTTGCAGTGCTCCTAAAGCCCAATTTATGGATTGATGGGTCTGTATCGAGGTCTATGCACTACAAAGTAATTCACTGCCACAATGCGAGGAGGCAAGGCTTTAAACCTGGCATTCGTGTAAAGTTTAATATAAATCATCTCCAACACGATAGAAGCACAGACTCACCATCTCACCACCACATTCTCTGTCATAGAAAGAACGCACATATTCTACTGAGCTGTGTCCAGAGAACCAGTCACAGCCCTTATTGTCTGCGTCGCTTTCCCCTGCTGTCTGCATCGTTTTGATGCATAGTTAGAAAATTTCGGACTGTCGGTTGACACAGACTGTCTGCATAGGGGGTTCATGTCAATGCAGACTCTCTGCATCATGAGGCAGACAATTTGATGCTGGACCCTAAACTGGGCTTCACGGTCCGGCGTCAAATCATCCATGCAGGACATTGGTATGATGTTTCTGTGATGTTTGCAAATGTTTATGTGCACTGAAACTTAATTTGAAAGAAAAATTTTAAATCATGGATGAAATGGAAATTGCAATATCTGCCAGCAAAATTGCAATTCAGCCCTAATACCAACTATAAATATTTACCAAACTCTTTTTCTTCCCTCTGTATTTGTTCAGGTTTGTGCAGATAGAACCAAAGCTACGGGCCGTCATTACCACCTCCCTTCCCTCCAAGCTCCCTTCAAAGGTTCCTCTCAACACCAGGCGCCTGCAGGCCGGCCTCAAAACCCAGGATTTTCGCTCAGAGATGACCCGTCTCCTGGACTCCCTCCACATTCTGCTCAACCCTCTGGATCTCACCTTTAACCTGGTCACCGCTCACCCCAGCCTCATCGTCTCCAATGACCTTCGCACTGTCAAATTCAGCTCCACCAAACAACAGTACGCGGACCACCCTGAACGCTTCACCACAGCCCCTCAGATCTTGTGCCGGCAAAGTATATCCAGCGGAGAGCACGTCTGGGTAGTGGAAGTAGGGGCCAATAGCATGTGGTCCCTCGGGGTGTGTTACAAAAGTATCCCCAGACGAGGTGACCACAGCCGGCTAGGGCACAACTCGGTGTCCTGGAGGCTGCAGTGGAAGAATGGTAAACTAACAGTGTGCCAGTCGTCCTGTAACGTCGCGTTGGGGGAAATGACCAATCATCCAGTGAGGATCGAGATAGCACTAGACTACGAGGGCGGGACTTTGGCTTTCCACAGCACCAAAGGGCGACGGGAGCACCTACACACATTCAGGGCAGTGTTCAGAGAGCCGCTGTACCCCGCGTTCAGTATTCACTCCAACACACCTGAGTCCTGGATAACACTGTACAGTGGAATGTGAACAATGTTATCGATAAAGTCAGTATATAGTGTTAAGATGAGTGTATTTGTACCTTTTGTAATACTAGTTTTGGAATAAATATGTTTGTGTCATTCATATTCCCTTTTTTCTGTGGTTTAAAGTCACTGAGCCAATTCCAGTATCTTTGAGACTTAGGTGGAATCCACCAGGTACAGTGATGAGACAGCGGCAGCGCTATGACCACATACTTTCAGATTATTCAGATTATTCCTAACTTGATTGCTTGTGTTTCAATCATAATCATATTTCTAAGCAGTGTATCTGGTGTGTAGGCTATTTTCAGTGAAGTCTTTACCCAATGCAATTGCCCCAAACAAAGCTATCTAATTTTGAATTTTAAGAAATATCTGAATAAAGACAGAAATAAAAGGAGTGTGTATATTTACTATAATTTGATTATTCACCTAGGTCTATAGGCCCAATATGTTATCACATTGCTTTATAAAGAAATACAGTATTTTATTGGGGCCACATTTGAGAAACAAAGACATGCCTAATTCTTAAAATAATTGTTAAATGAGGGGATTTTGTGGACACTGCGATGTACAGGTCATATCTTACATCTCAGCTGTTGAAGGATGTTTTGTGTCATAATCAAGCTCATGACCTATGACTATTTGATCTGATAGATGTTAATAAACATTCATCTGAAACCACCATGATTGTGTGGGCTATTATTTTATTTATACAAAATAATAACAAAATGAAAGTAAAAAGTAAAATAAACTGCTACATGAATTGGAGTAATTGCCTGGAAATCCAGAAGGATATCTCTTTGTATTTGTTATACAGACCCATATCCGCCACTGGTACAGCGATGAGTCTGGATTTTTCCTGGCAGCTGGAGTAAGGGAGCAGCTACCATTGCTCCTGAGAAAACTGTACTGACCTGAGTGACCTCAACGACTCTTCAGAAAATTCCAGATCACTAGACAAACCAATAGACAGGGGAAAAAGGCTTAGCACCACATTTTTGTATTGTTGCACTAGAAAAAACAAGCAAACAAAAAAACATATCATGATAGCTAAACAAACTAGTACACATGGCTAATACAAATGAACTACATATCTGGCAACCACAAAGTTACAATAGAACGAGGAGGATAAACTAAACGGGATCTGGCAACCCCCATCCCATCTGTCACTAATGTCATTGGACAGGGCAAAAGCAGGATTCTCCCAGCATTTTAAGGCTACTGTTTAATTCACATTCACAAACCTTACTTTTAATCATGGGTTCTGGAGAGAGCAGGACCAGAAAGGTGTCTTTTGGTGTAGACGACGAAGACAGAGTGAGAATCCTGCGCGGAGTCAAGGTAATGCTAATTTAGCCTTGGTTTTGATTAGCCTTGATGCTTTTATTTAGATCTGGAAGGTAACAGAGCTGTCAGATGCATCTTCTCCCTTGAGCCTCGTCTATATGATGAGGGCAGCATCTATACACTGCACTGCCATGTATGTAGCATGTGAGGAGGAGCTAAAGGGAGGCAGGGGCTGTGACAGTTTGACATACAACTTCATGGGTGTCGGTTTCCCCACGCCAAACTCGGTTCAAATTTGACAACAGAAATAATATGAGCTAAAATAATAATTCTAACCACATTTTACAACTGGCAAACATACCATCCATATTTCTAGTGTAAATGTAATAATTCGGCGTAACGTGTTGGCTTCATGTGACCGTAAAGCACGTACACCGGCGGCTTTGCTAGTGTTTCCATAGCTAACTAGCATTTAGCATTTCGACATTGAACAGTGGATAGCTTTTCGATTTATCTATTTATTAGGGTTTATAAAATATCAGTTTTATTTGTAATTGCCCCTTTTAATCTACGTTTATATCGTGCTCATTTTTATTACGAGTTTAGTACATGATATTAGTGTACATTTTGCAGTGCGTCGTTGTGCATGCATTTATACATGGAGTTTGGTCTACTCCTGCACACATGCAGCATAGATATTCTTTAATTATACGTCTGTGCTTTGCCTGCAAATTCCACTAACTATTCAAATACAATCCACTGTCATTATACACTTGTTGAGGCTGTTACTAGAGCTGGATCATGCTTGTCTTAAAGGGCTTGTATTAATTTTTTTAATGATCTACGTTATAATCCTGTTTCTTCATCATGAACATACCCGGAGTTGTGTTTTGTTCCATTCACACATGTTTAACACACAAATTCTGCATATTTAAGGTGACTTCTTCTCTCAAATAGAAAATAGACATGTTACGTGGTAATACAGGAAGTGCTCCACTGTGTTTTTAAAATCCATACATCTTTGCTAGAATAATTTGGATAATTTCAGCCCTTGACTTGCCAGTGTCTTTTGAACAAAATGTAAAAGGAAGTTAACTTGAAGTCTACCACTACATGATATCACAAAGTGGAACAGATCAATTTGACCTTTGAAGATGTTGACAGACTAATTATAAAGTGTGTGAATATTATGTCTATGCTTTGGCTGCAAATTCCTGTAGCTACTATCCAAATACAGTTTTCTGTCATTATACTTATGATACACAACTCAAATGTTACAAGGCAATCAAGCACTGAATGTGTTTGTAATGAGAATCAAAACATAGGAAATATGCAAAATAGGAATAGGAAAGTTAACATTTTAAATGGTCAGTCCCCTCTACACGTTCATAAGTCTTGATTCACAGAAAGAGTGAATCATCCTCTAGTAGTGCTTATTTTGGTTTTAGGGTTGGGAAAGATTTAACCCTTTGTGTGTCAAATGAACCAGCTCTTCCTGTGCTTTTCTAATCATGTAGTTAACAATGCCCTGGATTAAATGTCTGTTTAATAACAGTGTGTTATTTTTTCTGCAGCTGTCGGACGATGTTCTTCAGAGGATGAAAGGAGTAGCCAACATTGCTCCTGAGAAAACTGCAACAACTCCTCAGAAAGATCCAGGTTACATATGGCACAAACTATGTTTTTCCACACACACAGAAAAGCATAAAGTTGGCAACACGTTTTGTATTATTGCACTAGATAAAACATACTCATTGTTAAGAGAAGTACAGAGAAGATGCTGATATCTGTAACTGCTGTAGGGGGCGCTAAAACACAACAGCATACTTCATAGCAGGGCTGAAAGATTTGGGGAATATTTCACATTACAATATTTCTGACATGCATTATGATTCTGTTCAAAATTCATACTTTAAACTCTACCAGAACTGAGAAAAGACTGAGAAAGAACTAACTAATACAAATGTAAACTACAGAGTTAGAAGTTTTTATATGGAATAAGACAGGAGATTTGTTTAAAAAGACTTTGAGGACTTTGACAAGCCTGAAAAGCACATGCATGGCATTATTATTACTGGCATAATCTGAATAAAGAATATTACAATAAAAAGGGCTTTATGTAATATTACTGAATTATTAAAGATGGGATTTTTGCTTATAGATGCATCAAGAACTCCAAGTGTAGATTCCCAAACAAAGCAGACTCTTCCAGACAGTTCCCAATCTTACAAACAGGAGGAGCAGAGAAGGTGAGTGTATTTTGATTCTGAATAATAATATTGTTAACTTGCTATACTACAAAATATTTACTAAAAAAATAGTTATTAAAGGTGCATTATGTAAGTTTAGTCCACCACCACTTGTCTCCATGGAGATGTTAGTTCAGAAGGAATGTTCTTTAGTGTAGTCTTCAACTTTTCTTTCCATTTCCTGCCATACTGTGACATTTTCAGGTAAAGCAATAACATCCCATGGAGACAAGCAGGTGGCTGACCCTTCTCCAGAAAAGTTACATAGGTCACCTTTTAGGACATTATTTTAAGTTTACACAGAGCATTTATCTGCCACACTTCCACTCCAACTTTAAAAGTGATAGTATAGCACCATCTTGTGGCTCACCAGGGGAACAACATGCAGTGTGTGTCGTTTTATTGATGGCCTGGGTGGTCGGTCTATCTTTCAGGTTTGAGGAGCAGCAACAATTCCTGAAAGACGAACTGTCCAAAGTAGCACAGAAAGAGGCAGTGATAGATGAGCTCGCCAAAGCCCGGAGCAAAGAGAAACTAGAGACGAGGAGGGAAGCGGAGAAGGCCAAAGCGCTGGTACGCACACACACTCACATTGGGATTCCAGGCTTTGTAGGGACATTGCATTGACTTGCATTCGTTTTCTGGAGGTGGATTCTTACCATAACCATTGTCACTATTTACCTAATCTTAACATATTTTAACCTGTGTCTAAACTTGAAATCATATTGTTGATCTAGTAATGAAGGATTTACGTTATGGAGACATAATTTTTGTCTTCATAAGGGCAGTATTATGCATGATATATATATATATATATATATATATATATATATATATATATATATATATATATATATATATATATATATATAAACACACGCAGGTTTTAGTCCCCACAATGTGAAAAATACTCACCTCCACACACGCAAACATTTATTTGGCGTCAAACTGAGGCACTTAACTGTAACTCATTTGTTTATTTGAAGATATACAGCAGGTGCAACTATTAATGTGGTCACAGTGTGTTTCAAAAATAGGACCAATGGGCTTTTGGGTTTTGGTACTAGCTGTTATACTGTTTAAGTGTGTATATTTTAATCAGTATTGAATTGTTGTCTACACTATATCTTACTGAAGCAATCTTATAGGTTTATTTTAACCTTTTATGTTTTTTCTTCTTATCCATGGGATTCAGAATTATAAAATGGAAATTGAATGGGAAATGTCCTCAAAATGTTGCATATAGCAGGAAGATGAAACCTATGAATATCTAAGGTCAGGAGATGTACAGTGTCAATTATTTATGTAGCGTTTGCCTCTGCAATCCCACAGTCCAGTTAGGCATATCTATGGTCTTTGAACTCCCCCTAGTGGCCACATTTCAACATAACATGATGGCAAAAATTGAAGAAAAGCATCTAAAGTTTCCCAGTTTTACTTAAATGTTATTTATTCTAATTATTGAGTTTGGGAGCAAATTATTATTATTTTTTCATAGTAGCTTCTGATCTTTCAACTGCTTTTTAATGTCTGATGTCTAAATGTCTGATTTACGAAAATGTTTGCAGTTTTTAACCCACAGTTTTGTACCTTTACTCAAAATGATGTAGCACCTACCGCTGACCTCTTGGCGGAGCTGTTGTGTGAGCCTTCTCCTATACAGCCTTTCAACTTTTGTTCCCTGCACTTTGGCCTGCATCGATTTTCGCCGATAAACTGGCACAAAAGCACATTAATTTGCCCGTCTCCCAAACGTATCGGGTCAAGAGGTGATTTAGTTTCCCCAGCCTAAATCACACGTCTGCGCGTTTGACACAAGCGTAAATTGGCTCTCGGGGATTGCATTTGTAATTTCTATGGTAATACTTTTGCTTTTTTCTCCGTCTATCTCTCCCTTCTTTTTACAATTTTCTTCACCTAGCTCTTCTCCCATTCTGCCTTCTCCCCCTTTCATTCCCAGCCCATCACTCTTTCCTTCCGTACCCTGGAGACAGCATTATCAGTGCAGTGCAAGCGGTAAATTGCAGCCCGAGAGTTTGCTGGAGTTGGAGATAGGAGCGGTGCGGGGCTTGAGGTAATTGTTGGAAAGGGAGAGCTTGTTTTACACACCGGCCGGTCCTTTTTTTTTCTCAACACGTGATTCTCTTTTCCATTTTTTATTTCTGCGTCCACCTGCCACCTCCCGCGTATGGAGATGCAGGCTTATCTTGGGCACAGCACATTCCTAGTTCTAATAGCAAGCGGCTGGAGGGATGTCGTGAGTAGAATGACCAGTGGAGTATAAGACTGGACGCGCTAACGCTGAAGGGGGCTTGTAATTACAGCTGTGCGCGTGGCTACATATGTGCACTAAATGGAAGCACTATAAGCTATACAATGTCCACAAACTCCTGGACCAAACACTTACAATGTTGGCTTTCTTGGATAGAGATAAGAAATATACAAAGTCAGAACCACTGGGATTTTTCATAATGAGTGATTTCTAAACACTTTCCTGTCAACTGGACTAGAAATGCTGTATTGATGGATATAAGCGAGCCAATTACATGTGTGGTTTCAACCTTTAGTCAGTTCAGTCGTCCTCGGAGATCGAAGTTCTGACTTTTACAGAGTCCGAGAACATTTCAGAGACTGAGTTAGAAAATCCAACATGGCTGCGCTCTGTGTTTGGAAATAAAGAAACAGTTACAATGTTGATTGCACTTGTGCTATTTTCCCTTTAGTTGCTCCCTCTTGTCCACTTGCTTCTGTGAACCTGCTCCTTGCGCAGCCGTTGAGCCTCTGCAGTTACAAATGTGCTGTCATGCTCTATTATTCTAATGTTGCTAACATCAACACCGAGCTAATGTCAACAGAAGCAGAAATTCACTCTCAAACGTTGCTTTACTGTTGATGTTGTAACAATGTTCTGGTTATTAAATGAACTTAATTGGATCTGCATTTTGGCTGATATTTGCACTTTTGTAGTTTTTATTACTTGATTGAGACTTTGATGTAATACACTGATCACTGTTTTTCCAACTTGACAAATGGAATGCACATATGATATTTAACTTGGAGATTACGTCATTCTAAGATCCAAGTTTCCAAGATCCGAGTTTCCGACCACCGAGGTTGATGGGAACGCAGCACTGGAGCTATTGATGTCTCCAAGAAAGAAAACAATATAATAATAGGTTTGGAATAAGACAATACAGTAGGAGATGCATTTACCTTGTTGACATGTTTTAGCTGCTAGCTGCAAGCCATCTTCAGAACAGTTATTGTTTTGTTTTTTGTTGTTGTTTTTTTGTTTTTTTTATAATACTAATTTAAAAGTAATTTACAAGATTAGAATATTTGCGTGTTGCTGCTAGTGTTCAAAATCAAATGAGTTTTATTATCATCACTTTTCCTTAAAGCTTTGCCATCTGGATCCTTTCCTGAAATCTTGAGCAGTGCCTCTTGTTTGTATACAAACCCCGGAGGTGATCCTTCCATGACTCAAAGTGTGTTCTGAAGAGGTCAGCTGCCTGTGTGAGAGAGAGGAAGGAGGCGAAGGGCTAGCAGATGATGTGTGCTCCTCCATGCGATTAGGGGACAATTTTGTGCTCTACAACTTGAGTTCTTATGCTTTTCTTTGTGTTCAGTTTTGTGTTGTCAGTCTCGCTATACTGGTTGTCCTATATTGTGTATTACTATTATATAGTGTATTTTTAGTACCATTATTGATTCTTGTTTAGATGTGTTCTGCTTTTAATAATTGTTTTTATGTCAATACATATCTAGGTATCCATATTTTTGACAACCCTAGTACAGCTGCACACATTGAGTACAGGGCTATTAGCTGTGAGATTCAGTCTTGAATCCCTGAAGAAGAATCATCATCTTTTCTATCACTTTTTATTAGATCTAACAGTGTTTGAACAAAGACATGGGACTGATATTACAGCTTTACATGTAGTTTTATATTTGGCAGTTGTAATAAATGTAAAGAGATGACATCAAAGTAAAATGAGTTGGGGAAAAAGGAACAGTGAATAGCGGAAATTCAAGTATAACTGAGAAATAAGAGGTGACAGCTGATTAGGCTTGTGCCAGTAATTGGGAACAGGAAGATTTGAGGATGAAGAAGAAGCGACGGAGTTCTTTGAAGGGTAAAGAGGAAGAATAAAGCTGAGGCGTGGATGAATGGGACTCAAAGCGCTTCCTGTAATTCCAACAAGATGAAGAGGGAAGTGACATTTCCTGGAATGTCACAAGAGATGGAGGATGTGGCACTGGGAAAGTCAGCAGTGAGCAACCATGATGCTGTTTGTGGAAGGAATTAGATCAATTAGAACATGAATTAATCGAGTTGAGACGGCATTTGATCAGAGGCAAGAAAGCAAGGTTATATCAAGTGGCCTATGTGTCATTTGAACATTGCCTAAACTACACTATTTGGCACATGCTATGATGGGGAACTTATTCACTCACAATGGGCTGAGTACCCAAAACAAATACTGGAGCTGGTTGGGACGATAGGGCTAAAATATAAAGGCGTACAATTATAAAACATACAAATTTCACCTTTAGTTAGCACACAATGAAGGCACTCAACTAGAGATAGACACTGATATATGAGACGATATTTGTACTTTTTGGTGTATCAGTTACTAGCTTTAAATCTTCAGCAGAGGTCGATATTTTGTTTTTGGGGGTGAGTTTGTTGTAAATTTAAATTACACTATTTGGGGAAAATGATCAACATCAGCTCTAGAAATTGCCTCAAAAATATCAGCAGAGTTTATTGGTTATTGGTTTTGGATCCTAAACAATCCGTATCAGCATCAGCCATGAAACAAGCACATATTGGTTGATCTCTAGTGCTAAAATACAGGAATAAAAGTACAACTACCTCTAATTATGCTTATTTAATAGGTATAGGGCAAGATCTTGTGTGACCCCCCTTGTGTTTACATTTGGCACAGACAAAAAAAAAAAAAAAATGGTTAAAGGGTCTGTTACATCTCTTGAGAAGCCACAGTTTTAAAAAGCAGTGCTACAATGACAGCAAAAAAAAAAAAGACCAAAACTACCATTTTGCATAAATTATGTAAAAATCGTGCTTTGTTTCCTTCTCGTAGACCCAATCTCATGTCTCGTCTTGTGGGAAATGCGTTTTGTCTCACCTATTGCTCTGTACTCTATTCTACTGAAAATATGTGGAGGATTCTTGCTCATTGACATATATTGGTTCCTATCTACTGTCGGATATGAACTGAATGAAGGGTCGTGTAGGGTGACGGAGGACAAAACAAAAAGATAGAGGTGAGTAAGTGCTTCCGTCCGTCAGCATGAGCACAGTACAATACGCACAATAACACCACTGCTCTTCTCTATTCTTCCCTTTTTCTCTTTTTCCTGCTGAACCTTCTGATCCCTCCGCTCTCCCCCATCACCACCACCAAACTCCAGCCATCAGGCACACTGAATAGTCTTTGTTAATGGCAAATCTTCCACAGATTAATTTCAAAATGAGCGAGGAGCTAAAAGAATGGAAAGAAAGGAACTGAGGAGCTAAAGGGGATTTTCTCTTTTTCTAATGTGTT